AGGAGAGGAACAGGAGAGGAAGAGCAAAGAAAAGGGGAGATGTGGGTGAGTGGAGCATCTAATATCATCTTGTCCCGGGCCCAGGGAAGGCTGTCAGCTGGCCTGCATCTATCTATCTATTCATCTATCTATCTATCTTCTTCTTCTTCCCCCCCTGAAAAAAAGAACAGGCGACCTTCAGTGGAGAGTCCTTCACGGAGCGATCGCATCCAACTCGTTTACCTCCATCATTAACCCTGCTGTGTCCAACCAGTGCCCTTTTTGTAGCATGAGGGAAACAACCTTTCACATTTTTAGTGACTGTGAAAGGCTCTCAGCGTTCTTCACGGTTTTAAATTGTGTTTTTAAGCGTTTTAACCAAACGTTTTTAACCACTAAACTTATTTATGGGGCGGGGTACAACAAGACAAACAAGAAAATGTGGCACCTTTTAAATTTTATTGTTGGAGAAGCGAAGATGGCAATTTACATCTCGAGAAGAAACAAAATACAAGAGCAGTCAAATGTTGATGCAGCCACAGTGTGGCGCTGTAACCTCCGCTGCAGGCTCAGACTGGAGTTCTCTTTTTATAAAATGATGAAAGACCTGGATAGCTGTTCTGACATCTGGTGCTACAAGAATATTTTGTGTGCTGTTTTAAATGATGAACTGGTTTTTACTGACATGTTAAGAGAGTGATTGATTTATCTATTTATTTATTTATTTATTTATATGTGGTACTTTTATAAATATTGATAAATCTGTTTTCATGTGAAAACCATGTACATTTTTAACAGTGCACATTGTCCCTGCACACCGAAATAAAGTGTGGTTATAAAAATCAAAAAAATCTCCTTCTTCCTGGAGTGAGAGTGGAAGAAGAGCGCGGAGACATTGGGAGACTTTGTTCTTTCTTTTTCTTTTCTATTCTTTGCACTTCGGTGACTTTGTTTATTGTTGTATGTGTTAGTTTGTTAGGTTTGTATTNCCACGCTGCGAAGCCAGTCTAGCAACTAATATTTGAAACGCAATGAGACGAGTTCTTCCTTGTAAATAGTTGAGTAAAAAGAAAAAAGGCTCAAAAATTACACATACTCACACAGTCAAAAAACTTTGTTGCTTCCCACGTCTCTGGCTTCAATCTGAACAACAAGCCTCATCCACTGCGTCACAGCGACGCAACATTATTTAATTGGAAGCACAAATGGAACTGCTCTCAAACCTATCAGTTAACAAGTCATGCATTTACTAAATGCATTCTTCCAAACCACAATGAAACTATCAGTTTTCAATATTACCATTCCAACCTTCAACTAAATTATTATCAAACATGAAATAATAATTTTGGCTCTAACAAAGGGCTATTAATGGAAAGAAACAGGGCAATATTTGAGTTAGAAGTTTGAATTTGTTTTCGTCTGAACTGTCCTTAATATCTGTGGAGTTGCCCTCCACCCCCACCTCCAACATTAAATGGTTTGGCCCCTGATCAACGTCTGATGTCCTTTTATTGGAAGTTCGGATTTTGCACTTCAGCACCAAAATGTCCGCTCAGCAGAAGTCTGGTGCTCAGAAAAGGACAAAGAA